CAACCATTGAAATCCTTCCCCGCCTGAGGGATCCTGGCGGGCAACACGGAGAGCGCCGCTCACTAGGGCCTTCTCCTCTCCCGGTGTCCCAGGGCCCGGCAGAACGGCGGGAAGGTGAGGCACAAGCGACAGGCTCTGCAGGACATGGCACGGCCCCTCAAGCAGTGGCTTTACAAGCACCGTGACAATCCGTACCCCACCAAGACCGAGAAGATCCTCTTGGCGCTGGGCTCGCAGATGACCCTAGTGCAGGTAACCGGGCCCACCTGATCCTTCTCCTGGCGAGGGGGGAGGAGCGGGCACGCGTCCTGTTTGTGCGGCTCTCCACCTGGCGCTCCGCCCCGCAGGACAGAGCGGAGAAAGGCCAGCGAGTTACTTTGCTGCTGAGGATGATGGTGGGGTTGGCCCAGGGGCAGAGCTGTGTTCTGGGAAGAGTTTCTGGGTCTCCTCTCAATCCTATCAGTTCAGTGTTAATGCTCGTTCAAGCAGGAATCGCATGGTGTTCTGTTAGGGAGGACAGTGACAAGTCAACTGAAAAGTTATGGGAAGTTGTCTGGGAATCTGGACTCACGGACCCTATATAGCTGGATTCAGATGGACTGCTCGCAGTGATTTTCAGACTGGAGCCTGCATCAGAATCGCCTGGAGGACTTGTGAAAACTCAAACCAGAGCTTCTGATTCAGTAGCGGTGGGCCCGTGATTTGCATTTCTAACTAGCTCTTGGGGTGATGCTAAAGGTGCTGGCGCTGGGCCACACTTTGAGAACCAAGTACAGGATAACTTTCAAAATTAGCATTACTAACAGATCTAGGAGTTGGGTTGAAAGGGCAAGAAATGGGTCTGGATTGCTTTTTTGTTTAAGTAGAAGCATCCTGGGTATTGGCTAGAATCCACCAATTTCCCTGATGACACCTTTCTACTGGGGTTAAGAGGAGGCAGATTTCAAATAGTTGGGATACTCGTCAAGTGTAGAAATGGTACAAGTTTATTTCCTCTAGTGAACAACACTACCATACATTTGATTTGCTTATTTTCCTACAAATCTTACTTGATATTCACAAAAACATGGTGAGATATGGAAGTTATTGTCAGTATTTTACAGATGATGTAACCAAGGCATATAGAGGTTCTGTGTTAGTAAGGATAGATTTAGGCCTGGAAATGATGCAATTCCAGATCAAATGCTCTTTCCATCACACCACAGTTTTCTCTAATAAATAGGGTGATAGGAACTTTTATAAATGCAAACAGAACACAAGTATCTAAAAGAGTAGGAGATGCTAAATGAGCTGAGAAGTTTCATACATTGTAGTAGCACTACATCACTGCTGTGAAATTTGGTCATCCCATTAGCTATATGTTAAGGGAAAATCCCCAAATAAAAAAACAAAGAAACAATATTTAACTATTAGATAAAAATGGAAATTGCTTTCCAGAGTAATCAAGATCATCATTTAGGAATTACTGGAAAATTTGACAAAGTACAAAAGTTGACTTGTATTCAAGCATATTAAAACTATAATATGCATTTGTCTGGTTATTTTCAGAATACTATTATAGAAGAAAACATCTGTTTTGCTTCATATTGACAAGCAATAGTAGTAATAGTGATTTGCTGCAGCACTGGAGGGGAAAATTAATTTAGTGTTCTTGGCTTAATATCTGTTTAACATAAAGCTATGTAACTTTCAGTGATTTACAAAAGTAGTTTCTAAATAAATTATTCCACTCAGAAAAACTTGACTTTTGAAAATAAATGCATATAGTCAAATTTCAGTTTAAGCAGGTATGCTATTTATTTTGAAAATACATTAATTTATAAAGCTATTTGAATATTTCACAATGGTGTTAGCAATAAAATACTAGATTATTTTGATTGATTATATAGTTCCACATTTAATGCTTACCATCCTTTTATATAAAAGCAAAAACCCCTTATGACATATTTAGAACATTTTTTAATTATAAAAAGTGACCTTTGCCATTAGCAGACATTTACATTTTCATGTGCAGTAGTTTAATAAGATGCAATATAAGTAGTTTTCACTTTAATACAGAATCAAATCATTTCCTATCTGTAATGATAGTGCAAATACAAATAATAATTCTTTTTGCCATAAGGTCTTGGTAAGGCTATTGCATTTTTCTAATTTACATGGAGTTTTCATACATGTAATGAAAACTTTTCTTACTACAGTTTCTTCCTCTTACACTAGTCCTCAGAAAATAAAAATGCACAAAATTATGTAATTTTAAATAGGGAAAATATATTTATAGCAATAAGTGATATTTGTTTAATAAATTTAATTTTATAGTATGTGAAGTTGGTTTCTGGAACTTTAAAATAAATAAATAAATAAAAATCTATACTATAATCAAGGGACCTTATATATAATCCAATTTTATTTCAGTTACTTTCAATTAGGCATAAGGGATATCTATGTAAGAAAAAAAATATATGAATATACACATATCTACTACCTACCTATATCTTTATATATATGAGAGGTTTGTAAAAGTCAAGCATATATTAAGAGCCAAATCAAATTCTAACACTATGGAAACCAAATAAATTATGTAAATACTTTACACTTCTGGGTGAAAAAATACAAAGCCATGATCTGAATAAAGCTTTTGATCCCTGCAAATTAGACCCTGATTTAATGAGTCAGGTTCTCCCACTGAATAAGTTTCTCCTGTGGAGTCAGGCTTCCTGAGAAGAGTGATCATGTCTTATTCATTTTCATACCCCCGTACCATCCCAGCACAGTACTTTCCATATAGTAAACCAGCTCTACATTTTTAAAGAGTGAATAGATTCTAATGGGGAATACCACTATAATCACCATCTAGATTTCCAAAACATGTTTTTGAAAGCTAAAGAATGTCTTGAAATCTAATTAAAATAGTTTTAAAATTCATTCAATTGTAGAGAATACACAGAGGGCAGCTCTCTACCTTTAATGCTATATGATGGTTCAACAGAACAAGTAAGCGTATAGCCACTTTTGTTATTTTCGATATATCTGGAAATGTGTCCTATTTTTATGTCTACAGATACATATGGAACATTCTTCTTATTTCTGGTTTCAAACTCCTATTTCTTGTTTATTGCAACACCTATCTCTGTTTTTCATGATTTATATTAATAAGCTGTTGGCATAACTTTTATTCCTTAACAACAAGACTATCTTATATTTTGATAATTTCTTTTACACTTAACATTTTCCTTTTGGTTGTGTGTCAAACTTTTCATAAGAAGTATTTTTGACTTATTTTGTTACTCTTAAATTAATAAAGAGGGGTATAAAACCTGGTCAGCAATCTCCATTAAGCCCAGAAACAAAAAGTTGAAACTGTAGTGGAGAGAATATCTTTAGGGCCACAAAAAAAGGTACTTTTTCTGATAAATAGAATCTCTGAGGATATGAATAGACACCTATTTTATTTACCCCTGAAAATGAAGCAGAAAGAATTATTTACAAAACTTTCACTACTAGACTTGGCAACTTGTCTTAATGTGCTATAACTATGTTTGACTCTCATTTACATTATTAATCTGGCATCTTACTTCCTAATGAGATATAAGCATTTTTATAAAATTAACAGAGAGGTTGTGTGCGTTTTGACTCTATTCAACCAAATTTTCCATTGTACATGGTTCCTATGGCTGACCATTATTGAAATATAAAAATATACTCTGCACTCTCGAAATATAAACAGCTATATTGTGGAATAATGTAAACTGGTATACAATTAAGGTTTTGTATTATTGTAAGAAATGGATCTTACCAAAGAATAATTGCTTTTAGAGAGTTTCTAAAAAGGCAGATGGAGGCTGTATCTGGTTTTAACATTTTCCATAGTTTATGTGTGTATATTTTAAAATACTTTTTTTTCTGGATTATAGGAGTGGAATGTCTCCTTGGGATGGCTTCTTTCATGATCATAATACAGGGTGCAGGGCAAGAGGAGTTTGAGATTACAGTTTAACAATTGGATGTTAATGCTTCCTCCTCTTATAGTAGAACTTTCAAATTTCTAGGATATGCCCATACAATATGTGGTTAAAACTATGTTGCAAAATTTTGCCTCCTATATTGACATAGCTCTACTTTAGCTTGGTATGAGTACCTCTGCTGAGCCATGTAGTTATGAACTGCAAGGATTATAGCAACTGCTAATTATTCAACAAAGTCTCAGAAAGGTCCTTCTACATTATTCCAAGTATCATACAACGTGGTGTGGAAATGAGGTGCTCAATATTTCAGTTGAATAACCCAGAATAAGTTTATTAATTCTTTATGTTCACAAGTGGGCAGATGCCAGCATATCCCTTTGGGCTTACTGTAATGCTTGCTCAGTCAATATGATGAACATAAACACCTCAGTTAGAGTAGGATGAAAATTACTTCGTTTTCTTTTCCAGCATCTAGATATGTGGTTCTCTGTGCATTTACTGTAAAATAGTGTTTTTAAAGCTCTGAATTTGACATTAAAATACCATTCCTCCAGAACCTACAGGTAAGGAGGCTGTTTCATGTAAAAGAGAATTTGAATAATAATCCAAATCAACCTATTGTAAGTGAAAGGGAGAAAACTTGAACTGCTATTTTTACCTTCAGTGAAACAGATAGGGCTTGTATTAATTCATCAGAAAAAAATTGCAAAATAATATTTATGCAGATTTGTTAACCATTTATTTGTCTGCTGTTGCACAACTTAATGTAAGTAGATATTAAAGTCTCACTGTATCCAGTCCTTTGGCTCTACTATAAATATCTGGTAATAAAATACTGTCAGAGTAAATATATTAGCAGATTGAGTGTTCATCAAACTTATAAAATTAATTTAGAAACAGCCTTTATTAGATATCAGCAAATCTTTCTAGAAAATCTAATATATAATTAATATGCTATGGGTATATAAAACATAAAAAAGGACATGACCCCTATGTATGAAAAGCTGGTTAATTCCACCATGGCATTGAAAGGTCCCCATTTTCCTATTTTAAACTTATTTTTTTGAAATTAGGCCATTGTAATTTAATAAAAATTGGTTAATTCCACCATGGCATTGAAAGGTCCCCATTTTTTTATTTTAAAATTATAGTATATTAATTTTTTTGAAATTAGGCCATTGCATTTTAATAAAAATGAGTAGTTTTATAAGAACTGGATTTTACACTGTACTGTGTGGTGGTTGTGTTACAATTAAGGTTAGTTAAGAATTAAGGTTTGTCTGAATTATATGATATTTAGTAAAGAAAACAACAAAAAGTTTTGGACTTGGATTCTACTAGATATGTGACTTAGGCCTAGGGGAAGCTGCATTGTGTCCTCAATGTATGAGAGGCGCAGAGAAGGACATAAACACACATATCTGATTGCTAGAGAGAGAAGTGGTTGAGAGCAGAGGGTAGGTTAGTTGCAACTATGAAGGGAATTAACACTGTTGTATGACAGGGTGGGCTGTATTCCAAGATCTTAGTTCTGAGAGTTGACAAAGATGTTAGGAATCATCTAATGCATTTTACAGATGAAGGGTTTCAAGTTCAGAAAAGTGGGTGACTTATCTCAACTCACACAGCATGTTTTTGGCAAATACAGGACAAGATACCAGGTCTTTTTCCATTATACCACAGTGACAGGATAATGGGACATTCATGAGCATTTAAAGAAGTTAAGTAATTAAATCATAATGGTGCATCAACACAAATTTGAAGGTGGTTGTTAAGATCTATTCAGTTGGACAGAATGGAAGTTCAGGAAAAGAATGTTCTAAAATTCCTAGTCAGTAGTGAGGAGGACTGGGACAAACACATTGGCTATGATTTGGACAATAGAAAGAGATTTGAGAAATTTAGTGAAGAAATGGACCAGGCATTTTGTGCTTCCGTAGCAATAACCTGTGTATCACAGTTAATCATAGATAGTTTTTCACTGCTGGTCCTTCTGTGTGTGCATGGGACACAATTTATCCATTCCTAGCACTTAATACCATGGCTAAAGCACAAGAGCATCTTGATACATGTTTATTGAATGAGCAGTCCCAGAAGTTGTCTGTCTATAGAGGTTGGGAAAGACTGAGAATTTGAAGTCACATTGAATTGTAGTAATAATAGCGTAGCTTGGGAGGAAGAAGAGTTGATGGAGACTAAGACATCTGAAATGCCATGGTGAGATGTTACCTTATTACATGTAAGTTTAAGAGAACAATTGCTTAAGACACAAGGCAGTAATATTGAATTTATATAAAACATATGATGTATTTTATGCAGATACATATATAAGTAAATGGGGGAAACTACCATGTTCTACCCATGGAAACAAAGAGAGAAAAAAAAATTGCAGCTTTGTTGTTGTGCAGATACATATATAAGTAAATGGGGGAAACTACCATATTCTACCCATGGAAACAAAGAGAGAAAAAAATTGCAGCTTTGTTGTTGTTTTTTTTTTTTTTTAAGTAGGAATCACCACAGGTCTACTCTCAACAATTAGGGCTTGAGCAATATGCAAAAATGGTGTTATTTATATTATAAATCTAAAATAAGGAGAAAAAGAGCTTTCAGTGCAATCATTGCCACACAAACCATGTTGGTAATGTGGGGCCGTGGTCTGGAACAAATTGACAGAAAGATGTATTTCTCTTTCCACATTTCATTCTTTAAGGGTAAATATCAGTCCCTCAGGTTTTTCTTAAATGTATTCTGATGATAACCTGATGTTTTAAAAGAAACCTCAAGTACCATTGTAGCCTCTAGAAATTCAGTAGCATCCTATAAAAAAAAGCAATGGAAGTAACTGTACTTTGTTTTGTAGTGTTTTTTTTCTTTGAGAGCATTTGACTTTTAGCTTAAAGCTGGGTGTTACTTGTCTCTATCTCTGGCTGTTTTGCCAGTTCCTCTTTTATATTCCTAGCATCCTATCGATGCACAAAATTCATGCAAGAGTAGGCCTTCCTTCCCCCGGCTGCGGGCACCGGCTTCCCTCTGGCACCCAGGACCCCCACTTCCCTCGCCGCCCTGGCTTCGTCCAGAAGGATGTCTGGTCTAATTAGCATATTATGCTTTTATTATTATAAACATCCTTAATCACTGGAGGTTTCCATTGGTCCTTGACCATCTTTTCGTTCTTTTTACTCTCACAATTTCAGCTATCACCTCTGCACATTTGATCCAAATCTGCTCTTCCTCTCCCTTAAGTGTCAGGTACCATTATATTTTCTTGCTGCGCATCTCACCTGTATACTCTTCTGTTGCCTTCAACTAAACATGCCCCGAAACAAACATATCATTCTGTCTTTAAACACTTCTACTTTCTTTCTCAAAATGGTACTATCCTCCTCTTGGTTACACAGATTTGATGATTCAAAGTCATCTTTAACTCTCTCTCTTCTTACCACACTCTTTCTGCAATTTGACTTATCTTTGTTCCAATGTCCTCTTTATTGGGAACACACTTACCTACCCATTATACCTGACATTTTCCTTCAAAGCCTACCTTAAATTTCTCATGAAGTCTTGAGTCACATGTATCCCCTCTTTCCTTTGGAATCCTGTGTTGTTTTATTTTATTTTTAATTTTTATTTTCTTGTTAATCCTCACCTGAGGATATTTTTTTCTGGTTTTAGAGAGAGTTGAGGGAGGGAAGGAAGGAGGGAGCTAGGGGGAGAGAGATTAATGTAAAAGAGACACATTGATTGGTTGCCTCCTGCACTTGCACCTACCAGGGCCAGGGATGGGACCTACAATCCAGTTATGTGCCCTTGATGGGAATCAAACTGGAGACACTTTGGTGTAGCTGGCAACGCTCTAACCATTTAGCAACACCAACCAGAGCCTGTATCATTTTATTTTAATGCATCTTAAGCTATTCTTCCCATTCTTTCCTATAATTAGACTTATTTGTATACTCTTCTACCTCTTTGATTAGACTGAAAATTTGATGGCAAGGCATCTGCATTTTTTAAATTCCCAGAATACAATTAGTGCTCAATCTCTGTAGTTAGCACTCAGCATATTTGTTGAATGCATGAATGAGTGAGTGGAAGAAGTGTCTAATACTGCAACACCCTGAGGATATTTAGTGATCAGAGATACTGAGAGAGGCTTAGGTCCTTTATGGGAAAGTAATTGTATGATGGGTAATTTTTTGTTTTGTTAATTGAGAAATAATACTTTCTTAGGTGTCAAATTGGTTTGCTAATGCAAGACGTCGACTTAAGAATACTGTTCGACAGCCAGATTTAAGCTGGGCTTTAAGAATAAAGTTGTACAACAAGTATGTTCAAGGAAATGCTGAGCGGCTTAGTGTAAGCAGCGATGATTCATGTTCTGAAGGTTTGTTCATATTTTATTTTGCTTCATTGGCTTTGCCTTTGTAATAAGTTTACTTCAATTGCTATTTTTAAGGTCAATCCCACAAAATATGATGGTGCCATAATGGTTCCTTTTCACTTTTATAATACTAGAAATGACAATGGCTGTTTCCTCTTGTTTATAATTCATTGTGTGTCAGAATAACATTTTCTGTGAAAATTATTAAAATTAAAATACCATAGGGACAAATCACATAGACTCCTCCTTTTTTTGCCTAAAAATTAATCTTGAATATAAAAGATAATTTTATACACTTTAAATATTTTTCCTTTACATATATTTTTAATGATTAAGCATAACAGTTGGGTGGCTGGGGAAAAGTACATACAAGTCCTACGTAGTGATATTTTTCCCTTTTAGATGGAGAAAACCCTCCAAGAAGCCACATGAACGAAGGGGGCTATAATAATCCCATTCACCATCCTGTGATTAAAAGTGAGAGCTCAGTCATAAAGGCAGGAGTGAGGCCAGAGTCACGGACCAATGAGGACTACGTGTCACCCCCAAAATACAAGAGCAGCTTATTGAACCGTTACCTTAACGACTCTTTGAGACATGTCATGGCCACAAACGCTGCCATGATGGGAAAAACAAGGCAAAGAAACCATTCGGGATCTTTTAGTTCCAATGAATTTGAGGAAGAATTAGTGTCTCCTTCGTCATCGGAAACCGAAGGCAACTTTGTCTATCGCACGGGTAAGTCTCTGCTTTTTGTACCTTGTTTAAAACCATTAAAACGGCAGCAGAGGCATTTATTTCAGCAGGTATAAAGCCATGGTTTTTATTGTTTTTGCAATAGGTTATTCATAGATTATCCATAATAAGGTTTTAATGTTTTTGTTTTGTTTTTAATTACCAGAGATTCTCGTAATAGATGATGGGAAATTTTCATTCTTAATAACAATGATAAGAATTTTTATTCTTAATAATAATTTTTAATCTTAATGGTAAACATTCCTAGATGAAATATATTTTGGCCTTTGTCAATAAATTTTAATGGAGGAATGTTCTGGATTCCATAGTCAGACATGCTAATACTCTGTATTCCATGTTTTCTCTTAAATTCTTTGTTTGCTAATAATAGTGGAAAATAAACACAAATTATCATAGGTACCAAGACTTCTGTGATGGAGTAGTATCTGGCTTAAATTGCTTTGGGAATTTTACTTGTATTTCAGAAACAATGAATCAATTCCTACTTGTTCAAAACATTCAGATGGAGTAGTGAGTTTGGTAAAATTTTCTATCTTGACTTCAGTTCCCTGAGAACTTTGATCACACAGTGTTTCAGAATAAAGGACATGTGCAGCCTATATCTGGTGGAAATAGAGTTTGGGTCCTGAAGATAACTTCAGAAAGCATCTAGTCCAGCCAAATTATGTCATAAATAAGAAAATCCAGCCCTAGAACACACTACTAGTTTATTCTTCTCCAGATCTATAGTACAGCTAAGCCAGCACAACAGGTAGGAGGGATGTAACTACTACTTAGACTGCCATTACTGTTACTATTACACATACTAACGTAACCACAACTCAACTTTACTGTTATGATTACACACACAGCCACCATCATTTTATTGAGTAGTTATGATATGCTAGGCTCTATGCTAAATGCTATACAAATGTTACTACATTTAGTTCTTAGCATATCAAGGAGGCTGATATGTGACCCATATGACTTTATAAAGGAATTTAAATTTGGCTTGTTAAATATACCCTTCAGCTTATCTAGCCAGAAATCTGATTTTTCAAGTGCCTACAAATGTGTACAAGATACATTATCTCTGAGGATTCAGAGAAAAATCTCAATATACTTTTAAAGACTTAATATCATTTTTGTTTGCATCTCCAACTCCAACAATGAAAATACTCCAAACATTTTGAAATACAAAAATAGTCTTGTAAATAATGATTGGGTGTAGGAAAAAGTAAAAAATGCAATAAAAGACTATTTAGCTAATAACAAAAAATTTAAAACTACATATTAACATCTAACTAATATGATTAGAGCAGAACTTGGAAGTAATTTAGAGCTTTATGAATGTTAATTTACAGAGAAAGGAAAATAACTTATTCAAGTACAGATAATTGAAAAGAATTTTTTTAAAAAAGGTAAAATGGAAAGCTGAAAAATAGATAAATGAATCAAGAAGTCATTTTTTGAAAGCAATAGTAAAAGAGATAAGCAAAAATTTGCACTAGTTAAAGCTGGAAATGAGAAAGGAGATATAGCAAAGCAATCATATAGGTATTAAGCAATATTATTAAAATTATGATGAAATACTATGAATAATTATTTACAAAATGCTGTTTATGAATATGTAGGTGAAATGAGTTGCTATTATCCACATAGATTAAATTATAAACTTATAATAAGAAAAGTTTTAAATCACCACTAATTCAGGAAAAATTAAGGTTTTAGTAAATCTGCTTCCCTAAACACATGATTTGATAGACTCATTGGATTTCTTTCAAACTTTGAAGAAATAATTAATTTCCATGCTTATACATTTTCTCTGAAACATATAAAATTATGGTAAGTATCTCAGTTTTTTTAAAAAATGTGAATGTCATCTAAATCCCAAACTAGATTAAAATAGCATAAAAGTCAAAATTGTTATTTATGATACTGATATTGACTATGAAACAACATGAGAAATATTGATAATGTGATGTTAAGTGAAAAACAATTTAAAATTGTGGGAACACTGAATACAATTATAACAATACAAGTGTGTATAGACAAAAAAAGATTTTTGGAAATAATAAAAATTAATTTTGATTAGGTAATTGAAAGTCTACTATTTTTAAAAAATTCCTTATAAATTTCTTTTTGTTGCCCAGTAAAAACAAGGTCATATTTCTATGAAATTTACCCAGTGTACTGAGTCTTCTGAAAATGCATACTTTTTCAGAGGAAACAAAATAAAAAATCAAAGCAGGAATAGCATGCCTGTATATTTGATGCTTTTCAAAGTTAAATATCTTCGCCATTTATTTCTACTAAAACATTCCATGGCCAAGTTCTATTTTTACATAAAAACGTATTTTTTAGTTGCTCAAGCAATGAGAAAGCAGCCTAGACACGTAAACTTCTGGGTTTTTATGCATGTTTATAAACTTTAAAAGAATTTTTTAAATTTTTTGGTTCTTTGGATGGAGAATTAAGAAAGACTGGTGGTGTAACACTGGTCGGCTAAATTTCTGACCAAAACAATAAATGGCTGTCGTCTTCTATGGGAACTGAGTGACAGCAGAGCTGCAGCTGGGTTAGCACTCTTGCATAAGGAGTAGAACAGGGGATTTTAATAACTGCTATGGTTTTCTCTGGCATACAGACTTACTTTGAATTCCTTTAATTCCTTCTGGTTATATCTTTTTTTTCCCTCACCTAAATAGAAATCTTCTAAGTCTGCTATTAACACTACCCCCTTCCCAGTTCTATAGTAGTACAAATATTTTGAACTTTAAATTCTTTTCAGGAATTGATCACTTTAAATAAAATTTATTAGTTTATCCATGCTAAAAAATGTATCTATTTTTTCATCCATTTTTTTGTAAAAGAGTTGCTATCTCATGATGCATTTTAAAGGAATTGGTGTATGGAAGGATAATGTATTACTGTATTTAATTTCACTGGTTTTTGTTAAGTTTTATCAGGGAGAAGCCAGGAAGGTTATAAAGTAGTAATCCTAATTGAAGATATTACTAGATACCATCAAAGTAGATACATTTTCATTGATTTTATATAGGCATTAAATATTTCTCTGTAATCTGCAGTCTCCCACAACATGCAGAAAAAAATGTTCTTTTTTTTTGATGGGGATAATAAATATTAGTTATTTATATAACTCAATAAATATCGATTAAACATTTCTGACAGCAGCAATTATAACATGAGAAATTATTAGAATTATTAAGGTCATTGATTTTAAATACAGTTAAGTAATACTCAAGAAAATTTAGTCACTTAGTGCTATCTGCTGAATTAAGTCATCCAAATTAAAATTACAACTCGTTTTCATCATGTTGGGTTAACAGATGACAGTTTTCAGGTATTTGATAGAGTGAATTCCCATTACAAGCTGACTTCCAGGCCTCAGTATCAGGGAAAAATCAGGCAAGTCTTGAAATAAAATGTGTGACTTCCCCCTCTTCTTTTGCTTGGCTTGAGGACAATTCCCTATTCTGTTCTTTCTTTTTGCAGCTCACAAATGATCAACTTTTAAGTGGCTAGTACATTCTGAGCCCTACTGCTCTGCTGGTGTATAATTCATAAATTTAACCTCTCCCACGAGACTTCATCTTGTTAAACTGTTTAAAATCCCTCTTAGTAATACACACCTGGTGTCTACTTGACTGAAGTGAATATCCCTGAAGAAATAGAGATTTTTATTGAGAGGTGGGGGGTGGGGGGGAAGGTCATTTATTTGGTACATGGAACACTTTGGGAAGTAGATAGAATCCATTTGGATGGCTTGCCACTGTTGGAGCAAAATAAGAAAATGAGGCTTTTTGGTGACTGAGGAAAGAGGAACTAGGAAGTAGAAAGAAATTTGGGAGAATGACAAAAGCTAAATACCATTTCCAAACATTTTTTCTTGGCTACTGATGACTCACAAAGGAAGAGATGTTTCTTTTTCCCTCTCTTCCTGTATGTCATATACTTTAGAATTTAAGCTGGTATCAATGGTAGCAAAACTTAGGTATGCTCATGACTTCATGAACCATTGAATTAGTCTGGAATTTAACCTTAATTTATAGCATAGTTTGGAGAATTACATTCTCAGTTCTAAACAACTGAGTTAACAGATAGTTTTCAGGAACACAATCCATTCATATACGAGGTGCTCTTTTGTGTATTCATTCAACACAAAAAAAGTTTATTGAGACTCAGTCCCTACAGGCCCTGTTGTAGGCTCACTGAAGCCCTAGGTTTTGTGTTAGCCTACTCATCACAGAAATTGTAGTTGAATGAAGCAGAAGAAAGATTTAAAGAGATGCTTTGGCAGATGTTTTTGAACAGTGAATAATCACTCCTAGTTTATGTTTCACCAATTTTAGGTTTTCTGTAGCCTAAAGAAAGTCACATGGCATTTGAGAGAAGACTTCCTCAAAAGCCAGATGTTAATGATGGTATGTTTCTGTGTGCCAATGACCTTGAACAACATGGGTTTGAACTGCACAGGTCCATCCTTTCAACTCAGTAATTTTAGGATTTTTTTCAATAAACACTGTAAATATATTTTCTCTTTTGTATGGTTTTCTTAATAACATTTTATTTCCTCTACCTCATTTTATTGTAAGAATACAGTATATAATACACATGACATAAAAATTATGTATTAATCAACTGTTTATGTTATCGTAAGGGTTCTAGTCAACAGTAGACTACTAATAGTGAAGTTTTGGGGGACTTACAAGTTATATGTGGATTTTCGACTGCATGGGGCTTTGGCGACCCTAACCTCCATGTTGTTCAAGGGTCAACTGTATATCCTAGGTTTTTCTTTGGGGTTTTGTTGATCAGTAAGTCTACTTTCTACACTTTTTTTTAAAAACTTTTATTTCCCTTTTTGTGCTTGTCACTTCCTTATTTTTAGTGAAAGAATTGTGCTTTGGATTATTCCAGATATTCTTTCCCTAGCATGCAAATACATGACTGTCGAGCTACTCCAGCAGAGAACCCTAAAA